TAGGTCCATGGTTTACCTACTAAATACCTTGCCATCCCTTGTGGGGCAAGGCTTTTTCTTCATTCTCAGCTCCATCGCTTCCTGAATGTTATCCTCTTGAACACTCATATCATGGTGAATTCTCAGTCTCCAGGTAACAGGTGAAGATTTGTCTCATTGTTGAGGTGTAATTAAGTTTCCTGAAAAAGACCACTTGTTGACTTTATGTATTATATATCTTTTGCTACATTTGCATATGTATATGGTGTGTGTACACATATTCATCTTCCTGTAGATTTCTGAGGAGCAGTTGCAGGTTGTGAATTGACGAACGCTAGATAACTTCAACACTGTATGTTTTTCGGTCAAACGATTAGTTTGTGACTTGCTAGTTAACAATATTATGTACTACTATATGGTTATGTACAGGTACTCTGGTGTACTGCCTTGTTAGGTTCTGATGAAACAGCCAAACAAATTTAGCTACGTTTCCTTACTCATCAGAGAACATCGAAAAGTCAATACAGTCCAAGTCTACTGTCAGAGTAATTAAGTAGATGGAGCCAAAGGAAAGTTTGCTGCTTATGCTAAACAAATCATGGCGCTGTAGGTAATTTTCTCTGAAACGAACGACGAAAGCCGCAGAGTGAGAATCTGCAGTGACAGAAGCAATCCATGACATTTTGGAACCTTTTGAGGGCCACATGCAGAGAGCAGCTAGCTAGTTTCTCATTTTGAAGGACAGACGGATGGCTGGATTTGACAAGGTCAAAATGAAATCTAACTTGTATGGTTGGTTATCCTATGTCACACAGGCGCGCTGTTTCCTCGCAAGTAGTAGGAATCAGATCAGTTTCCCTTTTTCTCTCATCTCATTTCCAAAGCTGCATAATTTCAGCCATGAATTCAATTTGCATTCTACGTAGAAGCAGTCTCAGTTTGACACATTGTAGTCAAGCTGACAATGCACCACCGTAGCCATCATGTATGAGTTCTCTTGTGCACTAGTACATAATTCTTTTTTCGCCGGGTAGGTAAATCTGTTGATGTCACCATGTACAAATACTTGTGGACAGGATTGCAGAGGTGGCACATGCATGAATGCTTTGCCAAGAATTCTTTATATTCCTGAGACTGAGATCCAGGTCTCATGCATCTTTTTATCAGGTGACTTGGAAACTTCGTCTATCTAACGTAGTAACTTTGCTGCTTCCCTATGCATGTACCCTTTATCTGAAGCACATACATATATAAAGGTCAATTTTTCAGGAGAAAAGTAACCCCCTGAAGAGATAGATAACAAACATGTGTTAAAGCTACCACCTTTATTAGCATGATGGAAGGGCATCATCACCTGGTGTAGTATCTGATAGATATATCTCCAACTGCACCCCTAATGTTGGCCTTTGCTTGCATTATTGTCAGAGATAGATAGATTGCTCCATCTGGATGCTGTGATAATGGACTGAATTCATGTCTGAAATAACAAGAGCCTTCTTCTGTAATCTGCATGCATATGCAGTATCTCTCTCTTGTCTCCTCTTTAACCTACTACCCTTACCCTCTATATATGGTCAGATAAGCAGTAGTTATATATCCTCCTATCCTAGCTAAAGCCTTGTTTAGTTCGCGAAATTTAGATTTTGGGGTTACTGTAGCACCTTCGTTTTTATTTGGCAAATAATGTTCAAACATAGACTAATTAGACTCAAAACGTTCGTCTCGCAATTTCCCACCAAACTGTGCAATTAGTTTTTCTTTTCGTCTACATTTAATGCTCCATGCACGGCCACAAACATTCGATGTGATAGATACTGTAGCAACTTTTTGGAAATTGGAGTGGAACTAAACAAGGACTAATACAAGTGACCTAGCTAAGGAAGGATAGGCAAAAGATATATAGATCGATGTTGGATCTTTTCCATAGTCTTGTCCTTCCTTCCTTACAAAGTACTAGCTAGGACTAGACGACTAGTAGCAGTGCAGTTGGTACGTTCTCAGACAGGCACAGTCCTACAAGTAAGCCAAGTCTACAAACATGTATTTGTTTTGAAATACTGATGTAAGCAAACCATGCAAGTCACTGTAGACTGTCTTGCCAAAATAGCCAAACAGGAGACGGAACCTGAGCTCTAGCCGTTCAACAATTAATCGTACGTGGTCTGTTTGTCCCTGACATATGTCAAAGTATGACATGATTATTAGACAGCGAGAGGGAGAAATTTTATTTTCTTGACACATCATCACATGACATGCATACTAATAGTGAACAATAAGTAAATTTTCACATGCAATTGGAAATAAGCTAAACTCATCCCTAGTAGAAATATGTAGAGAATAGTATTACATGCTTTGAGAGAAGAGTGAAGAGTCGCATCGCAAATGCAAGTAGTGCAGAAAGCTGGACAGTCAATGGCTTGTGGTGTGGGGAAATGAGGCCTACCTACTGCTAACTAATTCTACGACTTCTCTCCCCAGCTGGGGCACAGAAAATAACATATCATCGTCAAGGGTTTTTTTTCCCACTTCTTTCTTTCCTTTTTTCTTTCTTTTTTCTTTCTTTCTTTTGGACCCGATGATAGATGGATGGAGGTAGCAGCCATCGCTATACAGTTAGCTGCTGCCGTTTTAACTAAAAGTACACTCATAGCTAGCTGGATGATGATATTCCACTTCGAGTTTTCTCATTCCAAAGAATCTGTACAAGAAGAATCCATGCACAAGCAAACAAAAACACCTCAGGCATACCGGAGACATGCATGTGCTTTGTGGGTCTCCTTTATAGTTTTTTTGCTTGCTTTCTGTAAAGCATGCTTGCATCTTTAAATTTGAACAGACATAAGTTATCATCTTCATCTCTAAATTTGTGAATTTGATGAACATGGAACAACTTGCATTAGCTAACCTAATTATATATATTTGAGCTTGGTCAAATGTTGATGAGTGCCACATGTACTATTAACCTAGCTAGCTAGTTTATTTGGGCCGGCCGGTCAGTAAAAAATAAAAATCAAGCATGCAGCTAGTTTGGAGTTCTAGAACGTTATTGGGGGTAATTAATATAGTGTACTAGTGTAGTAACTTTCACACCATCACGTAGTTTCTCCACTGAAACAAGCTACCCCGGCCCCGGCCGTCCTTCTCCAACCTCAACTAACTCATTTTTTAATCTTATACCGTTTACACATGTTAATTATGTACCCTGCAGGTTAGTGATGTGTCTGCATGCTATAGTCAATTCTACTCAAACAAGTAACCTCCCTCGTTTTGAAAAGACTCAAGGGTCAGGGAAAGAAGCTACATATGCATGCATGGCATGCACAGCTAGCTCAGGGCCGGGGGAGCTATCTGAGGTACGTGCAGCAGGACATGCTTGCCTACGTGACTGTGTTGGTTCTCTATTGACTTGATACTGGGTCGAGGTACTATTCAATCAAGAACACACATATATATCTATTTATGCACAAAATGTAATCACCATAGACTCCCTCCATTTTAAATTAATTACATGTTGTACGTATTAGCTAGCTTTATCCTAAATCAAACATTCAAATCTTTAACCATGAACTTAAATTTTTTTTGTATGGGTTAACAACATAATATTATTCATGTTTTTAGATTCACTATGAGAAATAGTTTCATAATATACAATTCACATGTTATGAAAGTACATGGATTTCTTAAAATTGATAGTCAAAGTAGATAGAAATGTCTGACTTAGAACACACCACTAATATGTATGTAATTTGAAATGGAGGGAGTATACTTAGTGATGACTACAAAAAAACTTCACGTTGTTGTATCTTGCTGAATAATTAAAGCACTGCTATTTTCCTAGTAATTGCAAAAGAAAATAAAATACTGTTTTATATTTCAATTAAGAAATAAAACTCTTGACTTGTTCTTGTCTAGTACATACGTACGTCATCCTTATATTTCAGACAATTAACATTCCAAAATATGGTATAATTAGTAAGTTGGACTATCGATTTCAGTAGACATTTATATATGTAGTCTTTGTCACGGATATACAGCATATATATAGGCTGATATGATTGGCATGGTCCATCTCCAGTATAATGGAACAAAAGGGGTCAATTTGGAAAGGACACCTACAGCAGAATTATAGACACAACCAATTAATTAGCACCTAGTTTTTGTCAAACACTGTCACGACCTCAACTTAGATTCATTTCGCAAGTAACACTAGTAGCAAATGGCGTGTCAACCAAGTACATATATAACATATGAAATAGTCACACTCGGGTGTGTGGAAAAGAAAACCTCGTTTAGTTTATATATATATATATGTCACAAGCTAATCATTACAAGTATATATGTGTGTGTGCCCTCCTTGCAAGGCAAAACAAAAGCAAAAAACTAAAAAACAAATTGAAATCGTTTAGGTGAGCATATATGTATATATGTATGTATTTTTGTCGTTGGTTCTTTGTACATAGCTAAAATAAAGTGGGCCAAACCACCTTTTATATCCTATCAACAGACAAACTTCACATCTTCAAAGAAGTGTGCAACAACCAATCCAATGCAAAGAAACGGTTTCTCCATCATATATCAATCCATCTTTTCAACTTTTCATCAGTTCTTCATCTTACTCCTATATATGAAAGATATGTGTCATTTCTTCTCACAGCTGATCATTGGGGTTGTTCAACCATGACATTTGCCTGCACATGCACCAAAAGACAAAGAGAAAGAAAAATACATGGTGAGATCAGAGGCAATTACAAGCAAATAAACAGCATATACTATATACATGCATGTTACTATTTAATAAGCTATTTTTTTTGGAATCCTATTCCTAGCTAGCTAGTAGTAGCCATATATATATACTTGTATGTAGCTACAAATTTTAGTGAGGATATATATATAATTTACATACATATTAATACTTGTATAGATAGAAATTTTAATCCTACTAGGTAGAAAAATATATATAAGTAAATAATAAAGTTGATGCATGGCATGGTATGCTAGCTGCTATAGTGCTATGGCTATACTCACTCTAGCAATTCTCTCCAACTGTCACTGTTGGGGTCAAAATCCAAGGTGAGGCTCTCCAGGCCGTCGAACGGGCTCGACGCCGGCGTCTCCTCGCACGGGGATGGGTTCGACGACGTGCCGACGCCGTTGCCGGCATTACACCCCTCGGCTGCCGGTGCCGAAGGTGGCGGCATCGCGGCAGCAGTGATGTTGGTCCCGGTGGTGGCCCCGCTGTGGCCGAGCTCCGTGGAGCTGAGCCCGTCCCAGGCGAGCCCGTAGAGGGAGTAGGCGGAGGACATGGACGACGACATGCCCTGCGTGACGGCCGGCACGCTGGTCAACGCCGGCAGGCTGAGCATGCCGTCGTACTGCTGGACGACCCTGCTGGCGGTGGTGGTGCTCTGCTGGTCGACGCCGCTGACCGCCCCTCCTCCATTGGCGGCGGCGAGGAGGGTCATGAGGTCGACGGTAGGCGCGGCGGGGGCGGTTAGGACGCGGACGAGGCCCTCTAGGAGCTGGTACTTGGCGGCGTCGGCCTGGAGCCTGAGCGCGTTGATGTCCCAGCTAGCATGCGCGGCGGCGGCTGCAGCGAGTGGACCACCAGCAGCTGCCCGACCACCACCACCGTGACCGTGACCACCAGCGGCGGCCGCGAGGTTGGCTGCGGCGAGGAGGTTGGTGAATCCGCCGGCGGCGAGGAGGTTAAGGTCGGTGCGTCGCTGGTGCGTGACGGGGTCGATCCCCATGTTCAGCAGCTTCTTGCGGAGGTGCGTGTTCCAGTAGTTCTTGATCTCGTTGTCGGTGCGGCCGGGGAGCTTGGTGGCGATGGAGGACCACTTGTTGCCGAGGAGGGAGTGGAGGTGGATGATGAGCTTCTCCTCGTCGTCGGTGAACCGCCCGCGCTTGATGTCCGGGCGGAGGTAGTTGGTCCAGCGGAGGCGGCAGCTCTTGCCGCAGCGGTTGAGGCCGGCGAGCTTGGGCAGGCGGCGCCAGCTCCCGTGCCCGTGCTCATTTATGTAGTCGACGAGCAGCTTGTCCTCCTCCGGCGTCCACGGGCCTTTCTTCACCCCCGCGTCCTGGTCGCAGCACGGTGACCTCCCCATTGTATTGCTTGCTTGCTTCGACGATCGACCTTGCTTGGCTTTGGACTTGGAGAGAGGATGACGATAAGGAAGAAGCTAAGAGAGGAGGAGAGGAAGGAATGCAACGAAGGTCTTGTGTGGTTCGTTGGGGTGGATGGCAGGGGGGTTTTATAGAGGTTTGTTAGCAAGATAAGCTAGGGTACGGAGGTGGCGTGCATGGCAGCAAAAGCATAGTACTAGTGCCTAGTGGTAGAAGTGCCTGTATACACACATAATAGGATAGAAGCATGCATGGCTGCTGAGCAAGGAAGCTACTACTGCATAGGTGGATGTGGTGCCGGCCGGCCAAAAGCAAGTCTTTGCTTGTGTGCAGGAGAAGCTTCCTCTCTCTCTCTCTCTCTCTCTCTCTGACTCCGTCTCTAATTTCTCTGTGCTGACCTCAGAGAGAGATTAGAAGGAGCTTGCATTAGTCTAAGACGTCGTCGTTAATGGGCCAATGCGATGCATGCAGACTAGCTCAGGCTTTGTTGTTGCTGCTTATTAAGCATGTACTACCTAGCTAGCTAGTTTCTCTCACCATCAGTTAGATATGCAACTGTGTGTTTATTGTCTTTGTTATGCTCCGTACGCACTCCCACTTTATTAAGTCTGTTCGGTTGGCTGGGCTGGCTCGTTGCTTGTTCGTGAAAAAGTACTGTTGACTGATTTGATGTGAGAGAAAAATACTATTCCGACTGAAAATTTACGATCGTTTTAGTTACACATTTCCTGGCAGCAGCACAGCACACAGTGCAAGTGGCATCGTGTCCTCATCACCGCTTACACATATTCATACATACGTACGCATGCAACCGCCTGCTAGCTGCATTCCTAGCTAATATATATATATATATATATATATATATATTCTCCCAAAATTTAATCAAATAGACTAGAAGAAGCTTCCTTATTAGCTTCCCATGCACAAATACTAGTTAGTACTATACTTACGTCGTTGTGATGTGATGTGATGTGATGATGCCATCTCTCTCTCTACGAGTCTACGTACATCTACATATGCATGCGGATATGCCCCATGCATTATTGTTAAGCTAGCGATGTGCACGTACGAGCTAGCTACGTCGTATACGTAAGTAGGTGTGGTGCGGCATGCATGCATCATGCATGTGCACCACCACACCAGAGGCAACCGTATGTATATATGTACTCAGCATGCATACCGTACGTACGTGATGTGTATACTAGTGTACTATAGCATATCCTTAAGCTATTTTGTTTATTTGGCCGTATATATCATGTATTGCTATCGTACTACTACTGCTAATCATTTCAAAGCGCAAACACACACATATATATATATATAGTCTCTATGAGGGCGACCTGTTACTACTAGCTAGCTTCAACGAGGAAGCAAACACATTTCCATCACATATACACAGGCATACATGCATAGTACTAGAGAGTGATATGTATATATATAGCAGTATGGAATACTCCCTCCGTCCTATAAAAAATTATATATCTTTTTTTCCATGGTTAACCAGTCTCAAGTTTAAACAAACATATATGAGAAAATTACTAATGTTTATATATCTAATAAGTATATATGTATGGATACTCCAAAATATATTTTCATAGTAAATCTATGATATATAAATACTATTATTAGTCTGTTGCACAGTATATAAACGGATACTCCATTTAATAATAATAATAAAAATTGGTGTATCCAATCACAGGTACGTATACCTTATTATTAGGTTGCTAATTAATTGTTGTTTAGGGCGTGAAGTGAGCAGTGAATTAGGATGGAACAGGGGCCAGAGAGGTTGGCACGTGTGCAGGGGGCAGAGGAGAATTAGGTTTCATGCGACCTGACCTGACACGTGCCGCGCGTCTCCCCAGCAAGGAGCAAAGAACAAGGAACTACCTGCCTGTTCCTTAATTATTAGCGTGTGTTGTTATGTCAGTAGTATATGTTAGTTGTGTGTGTCACACGCACGCAAACGCAATTTAGGTTGGTCATCTCACCCTGATACGACCGGAGCCGTTGACACCGAGACAGACATGAGGCATGCATGAGATGACATGACACACCCAAAGCCACACCACACGGCCATTAGAGGGGTTCGGAGGGCCTGTATTAGGTGGCCCACCTGACCAGTAGGGGCTCTGGCTAGCTAGCCCCATGCATGTGGGGCCCACCTAACCCCTGGATGTGTGCTCACCGTTGGCCCAACTGGCCCTGCTATCTGCTAGTATATCATCATCTCAATTATCTGCTAGCTAGCTGCTGCTTTGCCCAAAGTGATGATGATGACCTGCAGATTGACTAGCACCCAAGCTTTATTTTTTTTTTTTTTGGGAAAAAATAAATAAATGTATACATGTAATATTAATGCGTGGTGCTTGAGCATATATGTGCACAGTTGACTTTGCAACATCTTGGTCATGTGTGGCTTGCTTGCTTATTAGTAGTTGTTTTGCATGGCTATGTGTGTGTGTACATTACATATATGGGAGTGAACATTCTAGCCATGTGTGTGTACTGTTGCCCACAACACATGGCAATTTGACTTTTGGATTCATTGTTAATGCGGGGGCTCAAAAATGGTGTTTACCCATCTCGTGGACAAATTGATGATACATACCCCTCCATCTCAAATTAGATGACACTTTAGCTATGAATTTGGATAAAATGTTTATCCAGATTCTAGATTTAGAGCGCGTTTGGTTTCCGGCCTTAGTTCGCCGCAACAGTGGTGGCGCCAAAATTGAGCACCACACTTGTGGCAAGAATTTCTTCTCCAGCTAGCTGAAAAAGTGGTGGCGGGCCTATATATGCTTATTAATCAACCAAACAGCCGTGTCAAAAAAGGTATGGCAGCCATATATTGGTGATGGCGTGCAATGGCGGGAACCAAACACGCCTTCATAGCTAAACGATCATTTATTTTGGGACTGGCCAGGACAAAAGCTGTGAACCATTTATTAACCATAGTACTCTTTCGCATAGCTCATATGCATGAAATGTGACAGCTTAATTAGGACAATAATAAAGCCTTGCTGATGAGAAGATTAGTTGTGCAACTGGAAATGATCCTGTGGTCCTAGAATCCTTGTGGACATGCATACCGGTTTGGTACGTTGTGAGAAGTGGCCACAAAACCACAAGCAAAAAGGAATATTTTGGTCACAATCTTCATCAAGTGCGTGTATCCATCGAAAGAGCGTAGTACATCACTGTATAATGCAGGCATGTACAGTATAAGAAATAAGGGAGAATATGTGGTACTCAGGACATTGATTGCAGGATAGTGATATATATGTTCGAAAATATGAATATATGGTACTATTCATTTCATGTATGTATATGCTTGTGCAGGATATTCATTATTGCAAGCAGTTTCATATCAAGGACTGCACTGTGCAGAGTACACTGGTGGTTTTTAGCTGCACATCACAATGCTTGAGGGCCTCTTGTTCTCTCCGCCCATATCAATGTACTCCCTTCATCCTAAATTTAATCAACTACTTTTAGAGTTATCCTAAGTCAAAGTATTTTTAAGTTTGACTAAGTTTATATCTAGAAAAGAGCACCAATATCTATGATACTAAGGGGGTGTTTGGTTTCTACAGGGTCTCCTAAAATTCCTGTCACATCGAATGTTTAGACACATGCATGGAGTATTAAATATAGACTAATTACGAAACTAATTACACAACTTACGACTAATTTGCGAGACGAATCTTTTAAGCCTAATTAGTCCATGATTTGACAACGTGGTGCTACAGTAAATAGGTGCTAATGACAGATTAATTAGGCTTAAAAAATCGTCTCGCAAATTAGCCTCCATCTATGTAATTGATTTTGTAATTAATCTATATTTAATGCTATTTATTGGTACCTAAACATTCGATGTGACATGAATTTTAGGAGCGACTAAAGAACTAAACACCCCCTAAATTAGTATCACTAGATGCATACATCATAAAATATATTTTCATAATATACTTATTTGGTGGCATAGGTGCATATTATTTTGGAACTGAAGAACACATTTAATTGGTTAATGTTTCACCAAACACACTACTTTCTCTCAGATAAAGGCGATATGTTGCGCGGTAAAATTGAATACTTTGATGTTTGAATTAGTATAATACATGTGTATAATAATACAATATGTAAAGAAAGCTTCCTCTCTACCATGCACCTATAGTATGCCGCTGTTGTCATCCTTGATGACTAATAATAATGGACGCTCATCATAAAGGAATTAATGCCAGAGCTTTTGAATGTTTGAACTGCAAGGAGAAGAGGAGAAATGGAGTGTAAATTTCACTGCGCCATGTTCGCTTGAGCTTATCAGCCAGAATCAGACCTACTTTTCAGCCCTATGGAACAGCCACAACCGTAATAAGTCTTGCCAGCCATCTCGTTGGTCAGCTGTAGATATAGAGCTAGCCGTACATCTCAATCCATGTTGCATGGATCAGCCAGCTAAACTTGTCCGTCATGTTCTGATCAAACTAACCAGCTAGCCAATGCAATATACACTTGTGGATATATATAATGTGCTAGCTGGACACATTACTCATTAATTAAACCACAACTAGATCGAGGTCCAGAGTAGAAAGAAAATCTAACAGCGTATTACATATTATGCAGTACGGATTAGATACAGATTCACCTTGCACAAATTAACATATTTAGAACCTAACTAAACCAGATGATAATGATATATTATTGGAGGAGACACTTGCGTCCAATACGATTCCTCATCCTTCTTATATATAAATGACTTCATCACCAGCTGCCACCCAATGTGGTTGCAACCAATGAAATGCAAAACAGTTATGGTGGGTGGATGAGAATGCATACACATGCACACTTGTCTAGAAGTTTCAGATTGCATCCAGCAGCCAAGTTTCAGTTGTTGGCCTGATTAGATCTTAGATTCAGATCTGGAACTACTAGAGATCGAGCAGCTTGGCTCTTGGCCGCTTGGATTGAATGAAAA